ATTTTTTTAACGATATGTCAATGAAATGATATACAGAATAAAATGTGGATGTATATATATGGATATGTTATTCCTAAAACTGGTTCGATTTTTTTGTTTTTAAATAAATGGTAATTTTTTCAAAATTTGGTATTTTTCTAATATGTGAATGAAATGGTATACAGAATAAAATGTGAATGTATATATATGGATATGTAACTTTTAAATTACACGATGTTGTACGTAGAGGATTAAATTATTTAAACTTTGCAAAACAACAATCGTACAACAATCTGATTCTCATTTTAGAGCGTGAGATCTTTACTTTACCAACATTGAGTTTTTCTTTTCCAAAAATGTTTTCACGTCATGCAGCAACAAGGATACTTCCGTTGTCGAAAACTGTAAAGATTCGCCTCCAAAGTCATTGAAAGCAATTTTTCCACGACTAGATCTATCATAATTTTAAAGAATGAAATCCTCTCTTTACAACTCCTTGAAACTTGCTCTATGATTTTGTTTTTCTCGGCATTTTATTGAACGACAAAAATTTAAGAAATCCTAGGCGTTTTGCCTTTTCAATTTTAACGTTCAGAGTTCGATGAAATGGCGAATCGTACAGCAAGTTTCAAAATGAGAGACTTCGATCTTCAAGGCTACGATAGATTTAGTCGTGAGAAACATTTTTTATCGTTCTCAGAGGCACTCGAATTTTGACAATTTTCGAGAACAAAAGTGTGCCTGCTACACGATTGAAAAACATTTCTAAAAAAAAAAAAAAAAAAAAAAGTAACCTAGAACTGTCAAAGTGGAGACTTCGTACTTTGAAACAAAGCCAATTGTTATGTTTTATGAATTGTCTTTTTTTTTTTTTTTTTTTTTCTTGAAGTTATAACAGTTTAGATTTTTCATCAAGTGTGCGAATACTTTCGTCCAGTTTAAGATGAGAAATGGTAACAAATTCGATCGTCACATGTTTATTATTTGACTTTTATTATACACGTCTGTAATCATCTGCGTACGAAACGAAGGTACCTATTCTTCAAGAGCAAGATCATAGCATTGAAAATAATTATGTTCGCTTATTGTCGATGCATGCCGACGAGCACGTTTAATTTGGCCACGGAGTGCGGCGCGATTCGAACGACGATGCTGCCTTCACTTCTTCCCAAGGCGTTTTCATTCACACAAACCACTGCTTGGCTGTCTTTTACGTTGTGGACGGTTACAAAATTGATGACTCCTGTAAAAGAGACGTTTGCGCGATACTTGAACATTTGAATATTTTCTTTTTCTTTTTTGGTCGATGTCTCTTTTCGTAGCAACGAATGGTCACGCTTATCGGTAATTTTATTCTGCAAACTCAAGAAATCCTTACCATTCATTTTCAACTTCAGAGTATACAGCAAAATTATATCGTGCGTGTTCTCTTTCGCAATCATTCTGCTGTAGGTTTCTTCACCCGCGACATGTTTGCCAACGTAGAGGTTTCCGAGATGCACGGCAGCGTGTCGCTCGAGATAAGTATCCTGTTTTTTAAGAAACGAGGAAACTGTGATCAAATTTTCTGCGGGAACGTTATATAAAATGATTACGTAGAAACCGTAAGTAAATACATGGCAATCTACAATTTTAATTTTTTGAGTCTTCTGCATCGCATATGAACGACGTAAAGAATCACAACGATGAATCGTCCTCCAATCGGAATTTTGAAAATACAGCCAAAGAATTAATTTGAATTTCGTTAATTTTGCTTATCCTGTCCTAAATTTGGAAAGGAACCAAGGACGTCAAAAAGTCAACAGCAGTGAATCATTGTCCTCCAATCGTAATTTTGAAAATACAGCGACAGCATTAATTTCATTCTGTGCGCTACGTAAATTTGGAAAGAAAGTTTTCTGATCACTCACCGGTATTGTTTGCACGAGGTCTTCGTCAGTTAGTTCCAAGGTAACGGTTTCACGAGAATAATCAATAAGTGCAAAAGTAGCCTGCACAGCTAGGGCCACGAAGATGAAGACGGCAGCGATCGAACGGGACATTATTGTACGGTTTCACGGAAAACTGTAACTATATCATTTGGAAGATCTGTGCCTCTTTTTATACTCTTTAGATTAGAAAGTCTATCAAAATGCTCGTAATTTATCGTTTGTACGAAGATATTAAGAACAATTTCGCGATTTTATCTACTTGCTTCTCGATATAATAACGAGAAAAAACTGTTGTCGAGAAGAGTATGACGTTTTAATTTCTAATTACGTAATTAGAGCCAGTTCGATGAAATATTATGACTCGACGGAAAATTTGTAAATCTTTAATGCTAAAGAACGCGTTATTTTTTTTTTTTTTTTTTT